CCGGCCCGGGGCGACGTTGGTGTGCGATCCCTGAGCGTGTCAGCGGAGCTCAGCTTCAGGTGGCTCTTCCACGGCGGGTGGAAGCGCTCCGGTACGGGCGGCCCGGGGGGGCGTTTCGAACGCGCTGTTCCTGGCCGGTTTCCCTCCCGAGGCCCGTGGGTGTCGGTGCGTGCTCCCCTCGGCTGGCTCTTGATCAGGGTGGCTGTAAGCGCGGGCATCCGTCTGCTGGCCTCCAGGCCGAACTGCAGTCATCTTTTTTGTTTTATTATGTAACTTTCTCAAATTACTCCAAATCTCATTCTGGTTTTTGAATTTTTTGACGTGATGCTTTGGGGCGTAAAGCTTTATACTGGAAATCAAGGTTGCCTTACGCTCTGACAGCGGCATTTAGTGGTTGGCAAAGGCTCGGTTTTTGCAGGTGTGAAGGCACCGCACTTAACGACCCTAGTCTAGACACGGAGAATCGCTGATGGTGATTCTTTACTCTGGGCTCTCTTAAAATTAACGAGATGGTCGTCACCACAACTTGGGCTTCTGCTGGCTTGTCAAGCAAGTACGGATACACGTAACTTTTAAAGAAGCTGAGAGAATGAGGTGAATTTTACTGGTTTTGCTCTTATCAGGTATTTTACAACCGCGGAATAGAGGCCTGTAAGTAACTTGTGCAGGGCGGCACAAGTGACACAAAATACTGAGTGTCCTGGAAAAATCTTGCTTGTGAAAGAGGCCTTACATGATTGCAATTACAAAAAGCTGTGCTCAGTCGGTTGTTTAGACAAACAGAAGGGTAACCAATGCTTCAGGAAGTGCATTGTTGCAGAGAGGTTGAAATAAACAATTTAAATACGTGTGGTTGGAAGTAATGGAAAAGTAGGAACGGATGTTGCAGAAGCTGATGAAGTTTTGTTATTGCTAAGCAATGCTTGCAGCTTATTTGGTTGCCGTCTAAATGATGAATGAGCAAGCTGAATGTTGCACTTGTGCAGATAACTTAATCTTGAATGTTTTGATGTTTACTGGAACACTCAGGGAGCACTGGTATTTTACCACGTGGCATTTTACTTCTGTATTTATTGAGGAGCCAGGGAAAGTACAAATTACACAAATACCGACTGTTGGAAAAGTATGAATAGCCTAGGAAGCTGAGGGATCTCTTCATTGATGTGAAGAGTGACTGTTGTTTTATATCATCCTACCCTGAGGTAGTTTCATCAAGCGTGTGAGGAGATGCTGACACAATAAAACTGCTTTTTCTTATTAAGGGGCAGCTAAGACACTTGTTCTGAATAGAGACAAAGCAGCTTGATATCTAAATGAGGCCATGCTGCTCTAATGAATGTTTTATTATTTGACGAGAGTGAAAGCGGGTAGTTTGAGTTGTGCTGTTGGAGTAAGGGGTCGTATTCCTGACTATTGCTGCTTTACTCTGTAGCGAGTATTTACCCTGTTCCTTAGGTTATCCATGTTTTAAAATACACATAATTACTTCACTGAAGTGGTGTTGAAGCCTAATTATGTGTTTTATAAAGCAGTCTGTGATCCTCTGGTGAATGGGTGGGTGACTTTTTCCCTTCCTGTAGTGTAAGGAAATCGTGTGGTATGTAATTATTTTGTCTGATTTTTGGTGGTAGAAGCAATTGCTGTGCCACTGCTCTCAAGTATTTGGGATACATTTATTCATTCTTAGGTTGAGTAGTTTATAAAAATATATCAACATAACTATTTTAAACTTGTAATCACCATCTTCGGTATTCCAGTTAGAAACTTCACTCTATAATCAGTAACTTTGTTAAAAAAAACAAAAACAGATTAAACTTTTAATGTTGCTTTTTTTTAGCTGAATGTAAAAATAAAAAAAAAAATATCTCTGGAGTCTGCCTTATTACAATATGTAATAGTTTTTAATCTTTAGTTTTTGATGTTCAAAATTACGTTACATAATTTATATAATTTTATCCACATTATTTTTAACTATCTCATTTGATTTGTATGGAAGAACACATTCTCTAAAAACATGTACAACTGGTATACTTCTGAGCCTCTAATAATACAGCTCCTGACTGGATCCTTGTGGGAGGGAACTATTTATAGATGTCCATTCATTAAGTTTGTCATGCAAGAATGCTTTTGATGTGTTCCCTTGAAGCAATGGTTTTATAAGTGAAGGAGATGAACATATGCTACATTTATGATGAAATATTTGACTCTTCAGAACTGATTTGATTCTTTGCAAAGAATTTTGACACACGTTTTCTGTTAAGGAAGTATCCTGATTAAATTTCAGCTATGGCTGATTTTCTTGTTCTCCACAAAGTTCACGTTAAGTTGCCCGCCTTGATTTCTGACTCTGGCTTTTTTGTTTGTTTAATAGCAAATTTCTTATTTATGCCTGCCTGCTGCTTTTCTCTGTGTTGCTCTCTCTCCGTCTGGATGACAAAATTCAATGGAGTTACTGGGCTGTATTTGCTCCAATATGGCTATGGAAGTTAATGGTGATTGTTGGTGCCTCAGTGGGAACAGGAGTATGGGCCCGAAACCCACAGTATCGGTAAGTTGAGGATATTTATTTTGCAAAACAGAGGGAACATAATGTGTTTTCCATACTGAATCAACTTCATAAATATTTTTTTAACAATATAAGATGTAGCCTCCAGAAAGTTTGTTTTCAACATATTTAAAATAATTATCATAACCTATAGTGTATGCAAACAGCTTTATGCGGCTATGGGGATGTCTTAATCCCAGTTGCAATAGTTTATCATGGGCTTCAACAATATTGTCTTTGGGAAGCTAAAACTTCTCATGGAGTGACTTTTTGCACTTTTCTGTTAGAACGTTGGGAATTCTTTGCTTTAGTATAACCCATATAGTACGTATCTTCATATGAACTAGGAATACACTATATTTAATTGGATTATTTTCTAAATCAGTTTCCTGAAATGTACAGATCAGCCTGAAGAATGTTGATTTTTTAAATTTTTTTTCTCCTCTGTGTGCATATAACCTCAGTGAACATATGGATGAATATCCAGCAATTCTTGAATGTGCAGTGAACGCAGAATTTTTTCAGACTTTAGTTGCAGTTTTATAAGAAATATTCCAGTAGTTTAATACGCTAATATAGGCAAATGTGTAAGATGTAATGCAAAGTAAGATGTTTGTGGGAACAAATTCTGTAAATTCCTTTTCATTTTTGTCAAAATCATTTAACACTGATATTTTAATTGTCAGTGTAGGGTAAAATAACTTTCAGACCTTTAAATACATCAGTGTTTATTTTTTTGGTAATCCAAGTAGGATGTGAATTTGAAAATGCTAGGGGAAAAGAAAAACTACCTTAAATTAAGTGCAATAAATTCAATCCTCTCTTCTATCTGTGGTGAATATTAAATGAAAAATTTTGTGCACACGTCTTATTCTGATACACTAAACTGTGTGTTCAGGTCTTGTTTGCCCCTTCTAGTAATGGTTCTACTTGTGTAGGAAAAAGTGTGGTTTCTCTGTACATGCTGTCATTTTACAGGCATTTTACTTTTTAGTAATAGATAATATTCTGTTGCAATACACTGATTTTGGTGAATAAAGAAATTCTGGGGAAAGATGTTGTTTCAATGAAAGCTGGTGCAGGAACTAAACAGATAATTTTAGACTTAGCTTATTTCCTCACAGCCTGCATGATGTCTGAGTGTTTATGTAGTAGCAAAGAAATCCTGTTTTATCTGCACAGCTATGGAATCCTTAGAAAGTTTTCCAATTGTAAAAATCCGACTGCCCCCTTTGAGTAAAATACTTTAAATGTGCAGCTTTATGGGCAAGAAATCCTGTTGCGTCATCGGCAGTGTAGTTTAATAGTGGCTATTTGGGCATAATGCATACGTTTATTAAAAACACGTTAATATCTGAAACTTAACAATTGTAAACGAAGTGTCTTGGGATGTTTGCAGGATAGTGTGCTTTCTTATTGACAAGTGTACTGAATGCTTCCTTATCCTCTCTTTAGAGCAGAAGGAGAAACCTGTGTGGAGTTCAAAGCTATGTTAATCGCAGTGGGCATCCACCTGCTACTGCTGATGTTTGAAGTTCTCGTGTGTGACAGGATCGAAAGAGGAACCCATTTCTGGCTTCTGGTCTTCATGCCATTATTCTTTGTATCGCCAGTGTCAGTTGCAGCTTGTGTGTGGGGATTCCGACATGACAGGTCTCTGGAGGTAATGCTTTATTTGTTATGTGTAAAATTTGTGGCAATGCAAGACTCTACATCAATTCGGTTACAATTCATCTCTCAGTAAAGCGTGATATGGATGACTGCATCGGTTGACTTAATTGTTTGCACTGACCTGCTAGAGTGAAAAATCAGGATCGGGAATAATATAATTTTTTCTAATCTTTTCCTGTTTTTTTCAACTACCAAATTGTGGCGTGTTTTAAACCTGCTTTTTTTTATTGTGTGTTAAAAGAACTCACCACAAACTCTGCGATATGGGCTAACACTAGGCACTTAAATGGAAATTACTGAAGAAAATTCCACTGATAGTAAGCACTGTCCCTATGCAGAATGGAACTTCCAGAGACCTAGATAATCAGGGTTCAAAATTTCTTACTATCCCAATCTGTGTGCTTAATCTTTAATTTGGGAATGTGGATGGTAAGCATAAAACAGTAGGTTTTTATTTTCTGCCTCTATCTTCTTTCCTCTCTCACTCACTCCTTTTGGTATTGGAAGAACTTCACAAGGATTCTCAAGATCTTCCTACGGTTGTGGCATTTTGCAATAGATTTAGAATTCTTATTGAATTGATATTTTTTTAAGGATCTCTTTTTGGCTATATCCTCAAACTACCCCATGACAATTAAAAACCTGATTTTTAGATGAGGTGCAGTTTTTTCAGGTTTTTTCATTTCAAGAGAGTATTTCTCTACTATTAGCATAAGCCGAGTTTATAACTAGAGAGGGAAACATTTTTGGTAAGTGATTGTTAGGATGGCTGGTAAACTGATACCTTAAATTGTTGATTTAAAAATATTGCAAATAGAATTTAATTTTGCAGAGTTCTATTCACAGTTAACCATTCCTAAAAGTAAAATTGTAGAAGTACTTGCTTTCTACCAGATGATGCTTGATTACCCATTGATTTACAGATGACTGCACAGCTGCTAAGCACTGGCAGAAAAAAATGGAATCCACTCACCCCTAAAAGGCAACAGCTGTGTCAAAGAAAAGTTATGCAGTTGAACTGTCAACTCATTTTCTTAACAATTTTGTCATCCTCACTTAGTGCTGTTGTACTTTCTTTTTACTCTGGGAAGATTTCATTATTTCCCTTTCATTTGCTAGAAACATAAGAGGGGCCTGTCTTTAATCCAGGATATTAATTTTTTGGTATGAGTAATAGAAGTAGTTGTTAATCTATTAGTTTTGTAATTATTTAATCTGACAATGTCTTGTCTGCTTGTTCCTATCCTGAAACTGATTAGGTGATCAGTAAGTACATAGTGGGGTTCTGTCTATATATCATGGTGGGCTCAGAAAAAGCTTCCTTTTATGTGTTACGCTATTTTTACAGTCAATAAAGCACCATTTATTTAAGGCATATTGAATTCATTAAATTGTGAGCCTAGCCACTCCAAATATACATTCACTTGCCATATATAGCTCAAATGTTAACTTGATTCTAAAAATTATTTATAGCAATTGATCCTCTGATTTTATTTTTCTCTCTCTTTGCTCTTGCAGTTTTCAGGTTGCTTGCTTGGGTGTGGGGTTTTTTTGGTGGTTTATTCTTTTGAGAAAGCCAATGGTACAAAATTATTTCAAATCTAGTTTTCCAGTCTTTTTAAAGTAACCTGTACTTGAACAGCAAAGACTTCAGTGCAGTCTCTGAAGTAGGCAAGTGCCTGCTGCCTGTTGGATTTTTGACTCCCTGTACTGTGAATTTCAAAGGCATTTATCCAGGAGATCATAGTAGACAATCATGTTTGTTAGTGAAAAGTAGCATGTAGTGTCTACCTTCTGAAAAATACTACATTTCAAAGATGCCTTACACCCCTACATGTTTTTTTTTAAATGGAAAATGTTTCAACTTAGGAGCTTCAGTTAGCCTTTTCAGATAATAATTCTCTGTTTGATCTTTGAAATTCCTACCTGTGTAGGGTTGCCCATAAGCTTTAGAAACAGAATCTTGCCAAGTCTGATGGTGTTTCATGTTTTACTTTGTTCGAGCTAGACACAAACTTGATTTTCTTTAAGTATAATTTAGGGTTAGTTCTCATAGTGGCAAGTGGGACACGCAAAAAGCTCTCATTAACACTTTTAATGAGAAGTATTGCTTTTCTGTATTGCCTCAAAACCCAAGTGTCTTTAGTGTCATTCAAAATATCTCTCAATTATACAGTAAATGATTGAATTTGGATGTCATCCTCCACTATTCTGTGTATTTCTTTTTCCTTCCAGATAGAGCTGGGACTTTTAAACTGGACTATTGGTAGTTAAACCTTGTAACTTTCATCTTTACATTACTGCAACTACTAAACAATATCTTTAAAGATAAATTTTGCTAATTTTAAACTGAAGGACTTCTTACTACTTGTTGATTTAACTAGCAGTATTTCTTATCTGAAGAAAACCGAAGTTGTTTTCCGATGCTTTGCTTTTCTCAGTCTGATTAGTTTGGCTTTTCTTATTTCTCTAATCACTCTAAGTATTGCAGGTAGTGCTTTTATTTTATTTTTTTAAATACCAGGAAGGTCTTTCCTCAGGAGACAACTGCCTCTACAGTTACTTTATTGGGATCACAATCTCCCAAATTTAGGGATGCTTAGTAATATCTAATGTATATGCAAATGGTGTTCTATATTGCAGTGATAAGCATGGAGTCAGAAAAGTCCTGTGATAGATTCTTTGGAAATCTTGGAAATAGTTTTATCATGCTAAGAGTTAACTAATGTGTTTTCTTTTTCTAGCTGGAAATCTTGTGTTCAGTCAATATTCTACAGTTCATATTTATTGCACTCAGACTAGATGAGATCATCAGATGGCCATGGCTTGTATGTAACAAGTGTTTTCTTCTTATCCTTGTTTAAATGTTGAATTTCATAAAGATATTTACTATAGGGAACAGTTAATGTATGATCAGAGTCCATGATCAAAATTTTGCTCGCTTAGCAATCCTTCACTGAAGGTCTGGCATTTCATTCAGTGGTCATGGGAAGCAGAAGCTGTTCTTTGGGCATTTCATCCTTCAGGGGAGAGGGACATGCCATCAACTGCAATTAATCTCTGATCAGTTGTTGAAAGAGAAATCCTAACCAAAAGTTTCCAGTGGGAACACTAAACTACCCGTGGAAATGATTGGTGAGTTAGGGAATGTGTTGGTAAATATGGTATGGTAAATAACTAGCTTTATTTGTTGTGTTACCATGCATGTAAATCTACTTATTGTGCAAGTGGTCACTGTCAAAACTGCTGAGATCTCCTGTCCCAAGTGCCTTTAGAATACAAAAGCGCTCTTTCTGTTTCTGGGTGTCATGGTTTAACCCCAGCTGGCAACTAAGCACCACCCAGCTGCTCGCTCACTGTGCCCCGGTGGGATGGGGGAGAGAATCGGAAG